GAACCCGAATGACAGCAAGAAAACTTCTCAGAAAAAGCTTATGAAAATTTAAACCACAGTATAGGATCTAAGTCATAACGTACTCTACAGTCATAATGTTCCTGTAACTAGACAGAATGTGAAATATTATAATTCTTGGGAGGGAAAGGTTGAAAAACAACTTTTTTTTTTTTCCAAAACGCGTCGGAGACGTTTTATAAGGCTGCTTATTTGTTGCCAAAGTTCTCTCTTGGACTGCTTCACTGGGTGCTTTTGCAGATGAGGCCCGTGAGGGGGTGTTTAATTGCAAAGGAATAGTTTGACCTGTAATTGTTTATTTCAATAATCTGAGAAAACCCATTCCCTCTGTACTTTGACGTTTATCTTTTAGTTATGTGAGATTGCTTTTTCTGTATTAAGTGCCCTTAAAAAAAGAATCCAACAGTTTGTATGATGCACCCGCAATCAAAATGAAACCAAACAAAAACTGTCAAGTGGTCCAATAAGTGCTGGCTCCTAGCAAGCATATCCTCAAGCCACATCTGTACTCCACTCCTTGCAATATACTGAAGTATTAACAAAAACACACCAAAATCTAGACAATCATGGAGCAAGAGATAGGTGGGTAAGTTGAGAAATAGTTGAAGCTGGGAAGAGCGGATTTCTTTTCTAGGTAATTCAACTTGAGTTGTGAATTAAGACAGAATTACAACACAAGAAATTAATCAGGAATTATAACAAACAGGGATTACAACTCTTGTTACATGTTTGGACACTTCATATATAACTGAGGAGTCCATTTAGATCAATAATAACTTATACTTGATTATTCTGGGAATTTAGTTATATACTCTTAGTACAGCTGGAGGGTGTGATAATAGCACTGTTGACTGGTAAGAGATAACTGGCATCTGTCCAATTCATGAGAGTTGCTTTCTAACATTTATTATGGTTTCTCACTTTAAAAAGAGCCTAATGAGGGAGAACCTCTAAATTGCACTCATACACGAAGTATGGTATACGTGGGTTAATAATTTTCATGAAATAAGCCACTTTTTCTGAATTACTATGTCAATCATAATTATGGTCATTTAAGATTCACAGAGATGGATCAGAGTTTTGGAGGACTGGAAAGATTTTGATATCCCACCTCCTCTACCTCATATGTAAATGAAAACAAAAAGTGTAAAAAAGTTCCACAAAGTTCTGACGCTTCCCAGGATAACCACTTCAGAGCTTCTGCTGAACTAGGAAAAGGAAATCTTTTTTCCTTTTTCGGCTGGCTGTGCTGGAGTCCCAAAAGCACATGCTTAGTTTGTCTATTGTGCATATCAGAGGTTTCAGTCTGAGAGCCCAAGTAAGCATTACAAAGAACTGCCAATGAAAATCTAATATTTATGAAGCTCTGGTTCCCTGAAGTGGATTCAAAGGTGACCATCTCTGTCCTCAATGGGCATACACTAATGTGATATAAAAGAAAGGTTCATGGTTAAGTACCCTGTTATATAGAAAGTGGTGGCTTCTCTTTTAATTTAGTAACCATATGTCCCTCAAATACTGCTATATATGTTTTATATATTTGATTATTAGCTTTGTCTTACATGCTTTGGGCATGTTGTCAGGAGAGACCAGTCAGTCCCAGGAGGACATCATGTTTGGTACAGTGGAGGGCCAGCCTAAAAGAGGGAAGGCCCTCAAAGAGGTAGAATGACAGAGTGGCTGCAGCAATAGGCTCAAGCAGAGGAACAAGTGTGAGGATGGCACAGGACCTGGCAGTGTTTGTTCTGTTCTGCATGAGGTCACTATGGGGCAGAACGACTCGCTGATACCTAACAACAACATATTGGATATTAAATACTGGCTCTTGGCTATTAAATACTAAGCGTCATAGAAACCCCTTTTCTTCAGCAGTTTATAGTAAATTCAAAAAGGCTTATAAGAATATAATTAAAAAAAAAAAGAATATAATTAATGTCAAGTATTTTTATATTTTCCTTAATGGCGCAAGTACTGGCTGACTGATTCATATTTACAAATGTAATTGTGGTATTTATGACTTTTTACTTGGTCTCAAAGTCTTCCTCTGTGTTGTATTTATAGACAGGTAAAACAAACTTACACACTTAGACACTTTTTTAATCATAATTTTCCTTTGGTAATTTATTTCTGAGATTGAGCACACAGTGATTTCCCCCCGCCCCCTGAAATTCACCAGGTTTCTTCAGATGGGTATGCACTACTTAAGATCGTCTTTTTGTAAACTAAGGAAAAAGTGTCAGTAAGCAACTCAAAAGCTTAAACGCAATAGCATTAATTGCAATTGTGTATTGTCTCAAGATGATAAAATATTAAACATATATTATTTAATCTTCACAATAAACCTGTGAGGTTAATATTATAATTAATCCTAGTTTTTCACATGAGAGTAGAGGCTGATTGAGATTGGGACTTAAAATCAGTAAGTAGTAGCTAAAGGATTTGCACATAGGCCTTGGGCCTTCAAATCCTATGCTTTTTTTTTTTTATTACTTAAGAATCCAGGATCAGGCCCTAGATACCTAAAAAACATGAAATCATTACATATAATACATTTTTGTTTTCTTAAGTTTTGTTCAACTCATGCTTTCTTGTTTAGCTCAAGTATTATATTACAAACCAGTAATTATTGTTAGGCATCTCGATTCTCTCGAGTAAGGATAAAAGTTAATATTACCAGCAAACAAGCCATTTTGATAGCACAAGTCCCCTGATATGGCATGATGAGAATGACACATCACCTCTATGATAATCTTCCCCAAATTCTATAACCTTAATATAATCATGGGAAAATAGTAGACAAGCCCAAATTGAAGGACATTCTACAAAGTTTCTGACCAATATTCTCCAAAAATGTCAAATTCATGTAAGATAAAGAAAGACTGAAAAACTGTTAAGAAGACCTGACGGGTATAATATAGCCTGGTTTGGATCCTGGAACAGAAAAAGAACATTAGTGGGAAAATTAAAATAAAGTCTGTAGAGATTAGTTAGTAGTATTGTACCAATGTCGACTTTTGTTTAGATAAATGTAACATGATTATGTAAGATGTTAATATTAAAGGACACTAGATGAAGGGCATATAGGAGCATTTAGAACGAATTTTAACTATTCTCTAAATATAAATTAATTTAAAGGAAATTTAGTACAACTCCAAATAACCTTGATTATCTTTATTTAAAAGAAAAAAGAAATGTAACTTATTTTTGAAAGAGTAATACTAAGGACAAGAAATAGAAGATTTTGCAAAAAGATCAGTATATTTTAATTTGGTTGAGCATGATTTCTTGCA